ACTGATTTTTCTTTTCTGATGAGTGCCGATATAATTACGTATATAAACAACAACATTCTATATGTATTGTTTCTTTTAGACTTTTTGGTGTAACTGGTTTCATAGTTTCATACAGTTAGGTTGAACCACTGTCATGATTTGTTTTTCACCTACAGAAATGGTCAATCCAAAGAAAAAACTGTTTTGACCATTTATACTTCCAAAATAAATCAATGTATTAGTTCTTGAAGGCATAATAAATATAAAATATATACATATATATATATATATATTGTTAATGCTAAATGTTTAAACCATTCAACTTAAAAGAAAATTTATGAGGTTACTTATTTTTATATTTATATTCTTAAGAAAAAAGATTTGAACAATTTTTTTGGAAATTACTCATTGTACTTTACATAAAGAGATAATATAAATATTAATGTTTCAATAATATAATTAAATTGTTCATGTGATGTAGACTAACGTGCACACCACAATGGCACAAACTTCTTAGTTCGTGATCCCCGCATACAACTCTTAGACAATACTAGATAAATACCTGCGTGTTTTTTTATTATATGTGATTTCTATATACATATATTAATTGAAATAAATATTTAAATGTAGTGTAATTGAATAATATTTATTAAATATTATTCAAATATAGAAAAGTAACCTATTCTAATTGAACTAAATTTTGGTTTTATTATCATCTTGTTTATTTACTTTGATTTTCTCATATTAGTTGGTCATTTTAGATTATTAATAGAGAGGAATCTAGCATATATATATATATATATATATATATATATATCCATTTTTTCTTTGTTCTAAGAAGTTATAAACAATTTTTATCAAAGGATTCTTTTAAGTTCTTTCTTATGAACCTTTGGCATCTTTCCATTCTCATTAAACATTTAAACCATATCAAATCTTTTTGGTAAACTACTTATAATCTTCAACCGTTGCTCCTTCACTCATCAGAATTATCATGTTTTTATATAGCTATGATGTGAAGAAGGCGACCATCTTCAATTACTGTTCCGAAATCAGATTCTCCTCTCTACAGATTTCGTTTTCCTCTTTAATCAGAAAATCTATTTCTTCTTTTAGTCCTATCATCACACAAAAAAATAGAATATTTTTCACTTTTTACTTAACCCGAGCTGGTCCGGAAGTTGACAGCTCGCAACATCAGCTACGGTTTCAGATGTGTGAACCACTTTATTCTCAGACCCTCAATGCATCATCACCAAGAATAATGTTGCAGCATAATTAACCTTGCAAAACATAGTTTTTTTTTTTATTTTGAATCATATTACCAAGTACGGAAGTACCAACTTGTCCATCTCTACAACTTGTGCTACTTTTCACAGTTTTTGAAAATTAGCTCCAAACATTTGCATGGAAGAATACTAAGACACATTGAGGTATACAACCAAATTACAAAGCTAGTTTTTGGTTACATACCTCTTTGAAATTGTTAGCTATATAAGCATTGTTAGTAAGAATATAAAAAAAGACTTGCAGTGAGATAGTTTGTCTCGTGTTCCATCCGCTAAAAAGCAACAATCAAATATTAGAACAGTAGATACTGAGCAATAATGAACTTCTGATGTTTGATTAATATATAGACATCACCGAGCCATAACTGTTAAAAATTTAATAATTATGGATTAAATACAGTCACAATTAAAGATTAGAATATGAAACTTTTTTTCATGAATTGAATTTGTAGAGTTTAGGAAACGTGGCTTACTTAATTAACCTGATGTGGAGGTGAGATGTCAAAAAGATGAGTGCTGAGTTGTCAAATTTGTGAGACACAACTCAACTTTTATATAATAGATTTAATGTATTTGTGCGGAATGTGTTGTATAGATGCATCTTGAGGTTTCAAATTGTATATTTTTTTTTATATATATACAAATGGCATACTTTTTTCCTGATAACACATACATCAATTCATATGTATCGTGTTAATTTAGGTAATGGTTTTGTTAATGCAAGTACAGGTACAAAGAATGTATTTGGAATGTGGAAATCTAATTTCTAATGTACATCCAATAAATATGCTTAGGAGCCAGATACATGTGTTTGATGTTTTGTTTAGAAGAAGTTCTATAAAAGTTCATCAAATATAAACCCACTATCTTATATATAAAAATTGCTCAATTTTCTTAATATGATTGACACATCAGCATTGGATAGGATGACACATGTTTTTAAATTTTAATTAATAAATTTTAATATTAAATTTTAAAACACTTAAATAATATGAAAAGTTTGTTTTATTAATTGATTCTTAATTAAAATTTATATTAATGTTAAACAAAAATTTATGTTATAACTAATTAAAAATATTGATAGATATGTATTTAATTTTTATATAATTGTAGATTACTTAATAATATTTAGATTACTTAATAATATTCAAGATGTATTTTAAATTAATTTTTTTTAAATTATTTATAATAAAATACTGACAAGTAACAAATAAAATGATGATTATATTAATTTTATTTTTTTAATTAATTGACTATCAATTAATATTTCTGTAAATGTTAAACAAAAATTTATGTTATAACTAATTAAAAATATTGAATGATATTTATTAATCTTAATATAACTTTAAATTATTAAATAATATTCAATATGTATTAATATTTTATAATTTTTTAGAATAAAATATTAACAAGTAAATAAGTAACAAGTAATGATTATATTAATTTTTATAAAAATATTAAAAAAAAAGTTTGAAAATTTTAAAAAGAAAAACCTGCACGTAACGTGTGAATATTCACCTAGTTTGTATAAATACATGTCTAGTTTCAATTCTCGAATATACCACTTTATGTTTTTCGTTTTTCAAAAGTACTACAAAACCCCAAAACTCTAGAGTCTAATATCACAAATGTTTATAGAAAGGTATCTGAAAACTTTTCTAGAAAGGTATCTAAAAGTTTAGGAAGAGGTCCCAACTTTTGTGGTATTTTTTATTTTTCTTTTTTCTTTTCAGAATTAAAATATTTTCTTAACTAAACCTTGTTTTAGATATTTTAAGGTTAAGATTATACTGTTTTGGGTTTAATATCTAAACTTCTATCTGTCTTTTTTTTCTACTTTGATAATGATTACCTAACCAACCTATCTTTATTTGTTTAATTTTGTTTTTTAGCAAAACGATATAACTAATTTTGTTTTGGAATGTTGAATTATGTTTATAACACTCTTAACAATAGGTGACCATGGGGTAAATTACCACGAAATTTTACCTTATATATTTGATAATTTTGAGTGATTTGGGATATGAATATATATATATATATATAACTCCCCCTTAATAATTTGTATTATTTATGTTCTTATATTGGTAGTCATATTCAAATTCAGAATTCCGGTAAGAATAACGAAAACCTACAAAATTAAGTAGGGCTGTGGGTTAATAAATTTTAAATAAGTTAAAAATATAAGTAAAATCAAAGGTTACTAAATAATTGTTTTTTTCAAATCTTATCAAAATTTTATACGGTTCGTTCTATGATTTTTAAATACTATTTAAAATCTCATCTTATTAATTATTAAAAATTTACATGCAAACATGATTGTGTAATATAGTTTAATCGATTTAAAAATATTTCCTGATTAAAAATACAAAGATATAATTCAGAGAGAAAAGATATACATTCATAAATACTAGTTAAACTTACGTTAGATTTTGAAATCAGTAATTTACAAAGGTTTCTAAATTTCTATAGCTATATTGATTTCCAAAGAATTTATATACATACGAACAATATCCTGTTAATTATTTGGTGATTTTGGTCAATTTCTTGTAACTCAATTTCAATGGGTTCATCAATCTCTAACATATTTGTCTATCATTTGGACTCAGAGGGTAACAAACCGCGTTTGCTTTTCGGCGTCTTAGCTGTATGTAACTCATCATTATAAACTTGTTCTTTAACTTGTCCTTGTTATCTTACTCGCGCGCACGTAATATTATCTTATTTATTATTACACATAATTATTTAATTTGTTTTCTTGCTTCCATTAATTTGATTAATATAGGTATATTTTCAACCTTATATAAACAGTGACATCTAAAACCTTTTTTATGGGGTAATAATATGAAAACGCCAAAAAAATTATATATAAAATGATGTATATATTCTAGTAAAATTAAAACAAAAATTATATAGAATAGTGGGACATTATATATGGATGTTTGAACAGAGATTTAATGGGAGGTTAAAGTATCACTTTTTCCGATATTTCCAAATACCCATAAATTAATTATAGATAAACTAAAATTAGTTAAAGATACATATTTCATTGGGTGACATGATCTCCTTGGCTTTGATCGGTAACTTTGCGGAATGGCGGAATTGCAGAAAAAATATTGCGGAATAGATTAAGCGACTTATAAGTCGTTTTTCTGCGGAATGATTTTTTTTTTGTATTTTTGTTAAGCAAAAACGCAGTCTGCGTTTTTGTGTGTCTTTTTTTATTACGCGGATTTTTGTTGATTGGCAAAAAACCCGCGAAATTGTGTTTAAAAACATAATTTCGCCATTCCGCAGGTTACCAATCAGAGCCCTTGTCTCTTTATAGATCTGTCTCTCTATAGAAAACTGTTTAATATACATTTCCTTGCACTAAATGAAGTAGATTGCAAAATGCACCATATAAATTTGGTATGCACATAAATGTTTGTGATATTATTGGTTCATATAATATATATATATATATATATATTGGGGTCTAAGGTAAGGCCATATTTTATTGGCTTTTGGACAGATTCAATACTAATAATAACTTCTTGATTTACTACTAAACTTTAAAGAAAAAAAATATCTAAAAGGTTGAATATAGTGTATTCGGATTTCATGTGGGGCCTGCATGACCAACGCGTGCGAACGTTTTTTTTTTTTCTATACGCGTTATCGCCAGCTTAATATATATTTTCAGTTATTTGACATATAAAAACGCTTCTCTGTATTAAAAACAGTCTTGTGCGTTTTCTTCATTTTTCATTTTCAAATTCAATTTCAGTCACATTATTCTTCTTCTTCCTCAGTTTCATTTTTCCTGATAAATTTTCTTTAGTTATTTCACAATCTTCGCAGTTACTTTGTAGGAATCAATCTCTCTTTCTCAAATGGCTGAACGAGTCTATCCCGCCGATTCACCTCCAGAGAGCGGTCAATTTTCCGGTAATTTCAGCTCCGGCGAGTTCCCAAAAAAACCAGCTCCACCACCAGCGACTTACGTGATCCAAGTCCCAAAAGATCAGATCTACCGTCGTCCGCCGCCGGAAAACGCACATCGCTTGCAATACCTCTCTCGGAAAAAAGTCAATCGCAGTCGCTGCAGGTGCTGTATTTGCTCAATCCTCGCCGCGATTTTCATCCTCATCGTCCTCGCCGGAATCTCCTTAACGGTTCTCTACCTCGTCTTCCGTCCCGAAGCTCCGAAATACTCCGTTGAAGGATTCTCAGTCTCTGGGATCAATCTGACGTCACCGTCTCCGATTTCCCCCAAATTCAACGTCACCGTTAGGTCACGTAACGGTAACGGAAAAATCGGGATCTACTACGAGAAAGGAAGCACGGTGGATATTTACTATAACGATGTCGATCTCTGTAACGGTGCCTTGCCGGTGTTTTATCAGCCGGCGAATAATGTAACGATGGTTAAAACGGCGTTAACGGGATCGAGGATTCAGTTAACGAGTGCAATGCGCAAGGAGATGCGTAATGAACTGAGTAAGAAAACGATGCCGTTTAAAGTGAAGATTAAAGCCCCTGTGAAGATTAAGGTTGGTTCCGTTAAGACGTGGACGATAACTGTTAAAGTTAACTGCGATGTAACGGTGGATAAATTGACGGCGCCGTCGAGAATTGTGTCGACAAAATGCAGCCATGACGTGGACCTTTGGTGATACACTTTTTAAAAAAAAAAAAAAAAAATTGCAAATGTCAGAAAGAAAAAAAGAAAAAAAGAGTACAGAGGCTGTTTTGGATTGTAGGATTTTACAGATACTTATTTTTTTCATGTTTTTGGCTATTGATTTGCGTTTTATTTTTGAATGTTTGATTTTTGATAAAATCATAACATTGTGAATTTGTGATTGGACGGCAAGTATTTTTTTCAAACGAGGGAACTCCAATTTGAAACTTATTTAATGTACGTTAAAAACTTTTTTTTTTGTACGGTTAAAGTTTGAAAGTGTAGTAATACATTAAAACGTTATTGTGTGGAGACGAGAGAACCTAGACCTGTGTTAGTAGTGTCATTGTGAATGTGTGATTGGAGGACAAGTATTTTTTTTTATACGAGGGAATTCCATATTGAAACTTATTTAATGTATACGTTAAAAACTTTGTTTTGTACGGTTCAAATTTGAGAGTGTAGAAATACATTAAATTGTTGTTGGAGAGACAGAGAGAATCTAGACCTGTGTTAGGATCATCAAAAATCATAACATTGTGAATGTGTGATTGGACGGTAAGTATTTTTTTTCAAATGAGAGAAGTCCAAGTTGAAACTTATTTAATGTATACATTAAAAACTTTTTTTTGTACGGTTCAAGTTTGAGAGTGTAAAGATACATTAAAACGTTGTTGGAGAGACAAGATAACCTAAACCTGTGTTACTGACCTGCCAAAAAATTTCTTTTAGTCTCGATGAATGCATTATAGAAAACTTATTAGTCTCAATGAGTTCATTATAGTAATCCTCTCTCTCTCTCTTTTTCTCATGCGGCACTACCTATATCGGGCATCTATGAGTACATTGAGCACAAACTTGGTTTCAAAGTCTTCAAGGAGCCTCTTCAAGTCTCCGATCTCTCAGATGGTTAGGCGATCTGATTCAGCACATATTAAGCAATAAATATATATTTAATGAAATGAGAATTTTGTTTTTACTAAATGGTAAATATTTCATCAAAAATAAAAAGATCTGATATTACAAAATGTGCGAAGAAATTATTCGACCAAAAGATTGGTTTTATGCCAAAAAAAGAATAAAAAACATGGAAGCAAATTCTATCAATACTATTATTCAAAATTTTGAAGCAAATGTGTCAAACAGTAGTGATAAGGAGTTTGAATACTCGAGGTAAGACAAAGTCGAGAAATATGAGCGAATAGAAAAAAACAAGAAGAAAGGCTAAAGAAATGCCCAAAAAGCATATTAAAAAATATTTCATCTGGCAGCCGAAATTGTTTCATAGGAGTCAAAAGAGGTGAACAATGACAGTCCTCAGTGTCACGCTTCAACGTTCTGCTATTAAAACTAGATCCAGTACTCAAAAAGGACTATCCTAATGATATAAGATTGGAGTCACACCAAATTTTATGCTTCACAAGATTGTCAAATATACCTGCAAGTTTTGTTGTGGAAGTGGGCGTGATGTTAAGATAGAAGGTGATGGTTTGATTGACTCTCTCAATCGATGGGATGATTGACTCTATCAATCGGTGAACAAGTTATTTGAGTCACACAAACAACTAAATTTGTGGCTTCTAAAAAATAGAAGTGAATCACACACTTGTATTAAAAAAAAAGAATAATTCCTCAAAAAGACAACTTTGAAAGAAAACAAGAAACTTTGTATTTATTGATTGAAATGTGAGTTTTTACAATGGACTAAGAGGAGCTTATATAATACTCTTACACGTTCTAAAATGCTGAAGAGAAAGAAACAAATCAAAGCTAATAAAAAACTAGCCCTTAGGCTCTAAATGAGTGAATCTCGGCCAAATATGAAAATGTGATGACGTCTTTGTATCTGGACGGTTTTAGGGGATAAGTGAGCTTCTCTAGAAAATTCTGATATTCATAAAACACGTCCAAGTTGTCGCATTCAAGAGAAAAGAGCTGTTGGTGATTTATGGCACCAAGTGTGAATACAGCTACATAGGAAAAGTAAGCTTGCAAGAGGATCCGCCTGATCCTGTGGGTGATGGTTCATGGGAAGGTATTTCTAAGCTTCATTTGTTGCCTCAGAATCTCTCCTGGTCGCCATATCTTGGTTTGCTCATATTTGAACCGATTGGTCTCATACTTGCCATAACTGGCCCCGGTTGGTTTAATTGAAAGCACAAACCGCCTGGTCCAAAGCATGTGCTAGTGCACTCTAGAGTATTGTGAGGAACTTCTAGAAGCATAAAAATGTCTCCTGGATGCCAATGATACGTCTGGAGTCTCCTAAATCCGTAAGGTTCCAAATAAGGCAAGTCTGGAAATCTTTGATTTAGAAATTGAGTATCCCCCAAATGAAAACCGGTTTTGGTGTAATTCCAACTATCCTGGACTCTCTGATGAGTCAAGATTCCAGAACAAGTTGGTTCACAGCTTAATTCCTCTCGGTTTAGTCGGAATTCTCCAGTTAAGGCGCATATGTCCAAATCAGATAAGTTGAGGATCACCCGATTTGTAAACTGTATAACTCCTTCTTCTGGGCTCCAATTGGGCTGATTCCAACTCGCACCGTGCCTATTACGTACGGATCCAGATTGTATATCAAGTAGTTTCATGTCTTAAATCCTTCTGGTCAGGCTGGAATGTATTAATGAGTGGTCATATGTCTCCTCCGGATTCATTGGAGGTCTGCTGGTTTGTAACTTCAATATCTTCTCTGTGTGGGAAGATTTGAGGATGATTCTTCTTCGTAATGTGCTCTAGATGAGCTGAATATATTCACCAATTAGTATTTGAGCTGGAACGGTCGGTATTGCTCTTCATTTGAGCTGAATAAAGCACATGGGTCATCTCGGGTTGCTTGAAGATGCTTTGGCCAAGAGTTTGAGATCATTCTTCATTTCTGGGTGGAGTCAAAAGTATTCTGGCTCGATCATATCCTCCATTGATTCCATTTTGTTGGTGAACCCAAGTGTTCACCTCTGCTTCAGTTGGGCTGGCCTTTATGCTCGATTGTTTTCTCTGATTCAGCTTCAAGGCATCTTGCGACTTTGGAAGGGCCGTCTGGTTCGTCTATGGGCATTGGGATCACCTCGTGTTGTTTTGCTGAATCCATGACCACATCACCAAAATATTTGAACCAAGAAGCGCTATTCGCTCAAGCCAATTTCCTCCCAGCGAGCAGACCAAGCGATGACAAGCTCAAATAGCCCTATTACCTCATCCGCAAGCAAGATAAACAAGACACAAACCAAAATAGACACAATCTTAAACATGCCATATAGAACATAACACCTACACTAAAGCGAGAAGACAAGCAAAACCCCCATCGGACGCCACACCGGAAAACTAAGCGGGAAACAAACTGGAATAAACACTACACCGGCATAAACTACTGCTTGCCACTCAGAAACAGCCAACCACGACCGCGTCACCAACCAAACTAAATCACCTCCAACAAGACCAGAGCCAAAATAAGCAAGCGGAAAGCACCACAACACAAGAGCACCCAAAAGGAAACCGCTGATCTAGAACTGTCGGCGCTAGAGATTCGTCCTCAACAACTCCTAGGCGCACCACCAGCGAGATCAAGAATTTCATCATAAAGGGCTGACGAAGAGTAGAGCCAACCACCAAGGGAGATGCCTAGTGCCACACGCCGCCCGGGAAAACCGGTAGCTCAAACTGGAGACACACTGCTAGAACCCATGACCCAAGAGAAGAACCAAACCAATGATTCGACTCATCGACAAAACAGAGCCAGAGAGAAGGAGCAATTAGATGTGACGGGAGGCGACCCTCTCGCAGCGTGCAGCGAAGCCGCCGGAACTGGAGAGGGAGATCGAGAGAAGATGCGGCAAAAACTAGATCTGAGATTCGGGAGAGAAAATGTGTCGGCGCGTGTGGTGCATGAGCAAAAAAAAATCTTGAGAATTTGTTTGATGAAACTAGATTTTGCGTCCACGCTACGCGTAGATATTTTATTGATAAAATTATATGCAATCATTTATATTTATTAGGATATAAATTTTATATATTAGTATTTTAATAATATATTAAACATTTTATGGTGTTAATCTAATAATTTTTATGTAAATTGTGAGGTTTCAATTTTTTTTTTTTTTAATCTATATACAATATGTTTATTTTTTAAACATACTATTTGGTCAAACATTTATAAGTTAATATACTCAAACCGATTAAAAATTTAACAAAATAATCAAATGCTACTTTTTAAACATAGTATTGAGATGACGATAAGATATTTTCACTTTCATTCCAATTATATATGTAATCTTTAAAAAAATAAAAATAATTAAATTTTAAATAATATTTTTTTTCTCTTGTTTAACCAATACAATTTTTTTTTATCTATTCATTAAAAACAAACTAATAAATCAAATTTTTTCTTTGAGATTAATAACAACTTTAAATTTGAAACAAAAAATAGTTGAATATGAAACGATTAAAATCACACAAAATTTGTGAATTAAATATATTTTTGTCGATTACTTGTGTTAACTTTTAAATTATTTTTTAATGATTATACGGTTATACCTCATATCTTCTAATAAAAATAAAAAAGAATTTTCATCATGTTCATTTTTATTTTTTTTATATCTGTTTTTTTCAATAAATATATCATTTTTTTTATTTTAATGATTTCTTTTTTTTGATTATATTCAGTTTCATCATATTCATTGTCACTTCTTCTAATTATAATTAAGTTGGCAAAATCGGTACAATTTAATAAATACAAATTTAGAAAAATGAATAACAAACTGGATAACTCAAAACTAAGAACTTTTTCATTAATTTATTACAATTCCAAGTCAAATATACAAATGTATTTTTTTCAATCATTTTTGCATAATATATTTTATAAGATTATGTGGAAATATGTTTTGTATATTTGACAGAAATTTAGATGTATATAAATCATAAATATTATTTATTTAAAATTCTACTTGAAAAACCTTTAAATCAAGTAACTTAAACTTATATAAGTATCATATTTTTTATATATAAAAAATTAATTTTGTAACTAAAACAGATGCTGAAGATTTTAATATCATGTTGGTTTATTTTTGTTGTTAATGGAGATTTTTTTATTTTTTTTTACCCATAATATTAGAATTTGGAAACTTTTTTTTTAATTTTTAAATGTTGATGTGGATGCCTTGAAAATAATATGGTTAAACTGTTATTACTAATAAAATAGTTTAAATTAACAAATGTTCCTATATTGTTTTGTATCATCAATTATAATTTTAAAATTTAGATTTTTATTTTTATTTTAGTTATTGATGTGGACTAAAAACATTGACCTTTTAAATTTTATGTGAATATCCTTAGAGGTATATAGCTTCAACTTTTATTTGTCTATAAATATATTTTTTTTAACAATATAGTTTTAAAATTTGTAATTTTTCTTACTTTTAAATGTGAACCAATAGAATTGAAATTTTAAATCCTATGTGGACACTCTTAGAGGCATATAGCTTCAGGTTTTATTTGTAATATATTTAGATATTAACGCTGAAAGCTCCCTCACAAGATCCGTTGCGGCAAGTGATTTTGGTCTCTCCTCCATGTTTGAGGCTTACTAAATGTATTATGATGCTGTTTGGTTCAGCTAATTATTATCTTTGTGGTTCAGGTTGGGTTGCTAAAACCTTATCAGATGCCATTATTCCAAAGATGTTCCTCGGATACCTCAGTCTCTTTTGCCTTAATGACGGAATCTCTTTCTCTATTTTTAGAGCTTCGTTTTTCAAAAGTTTTGGGTATCAATCACTTGACATGTTTCTCTGATTACTTGAAATTTATCATTTTTCTTAAATCCAGTGGCCAAGCTTTGGAGATTTTACGTTCTCTTTTTCAATATTAAAGCGACTTGTAGTGGCTAATAGTTAAACATATTAGTTTAGTCAAGTTGGTTCTTAATTTTACGTTGTAATGATTTATTCTCTAGTAAAATCTAACTCATTTTTTTACTTTTTTTAATAAAATGGTTGTACACACATAAAAAATAACTTACAATTTATTATAGTTATGTGACAAAAATTTAGATGTTAATGTAGGAGTTTCTAAATATATGTGTATACATATGTAAATAAATTTTAATATTTTATTTGTTCTTAGTTATTTATATAATTGAAACATCTAATTTAAATTTAATTTTTTTTATATTTTAAAATTATTTATTTTAGTTTTTATTATTAATATAAATTTATATATAATTTATTCATCTTTAATCATTTTTAAAAAAATAATAGAATTTGGAAACTTTTTAATTTCTAATGGTGAGGTGGACCAATAAAATATTTATACAGAATTTTTTATTTAGCAATAATATTAGAATTTGTAAATTTTCTTGATTTTCTATTCAAAAATAATATTAAAATTTGAAAAATTTTCTTAACTTTAAATTTAAATGATGATATGGACCAATAAAATTGTTTTTTAAAATCCTATGTGGACACCTTGAGAAGCATATAGCTTCAACTTTTATTAGTATAATAATAACATGTGAAATTCGTTGTTCAACTTTTATTAGTATAACATGTGAAATTCGTTGATTAAAGTAAAAAACATTTACAACGAGTTTCTAGACTCATACATAATGGGTCAATATAAAGTGAAACAGAACACAAGTCACAGACTTCTCGAGAGACTTCAAACCATTTTTGAAGGAGGTCTCTTAATCTTGGATTTGCATACTTGAGCGAGACAATTCTATTTCTTGTGAGCCTATCAATTTGCGGAAACAGCTGCGAGACGGACTTGTACCTAGATCCATGTATTCGTGATTTACACTCCCGCCAAATACAATAATACTGTTATTTGAAATACGAGACGAAGGAAGATAATGTAAAAGTAACAATAGTTTCTAATGTACCCGTCCAATCGAAATCCAATCTGTTGCCAATAAGAATACTTTTCCTGTCATATTCATGACTTTTGCAAAAAAAATTTAATGACATGAAATAATACATGCTCATATATCAACTGAAAGTGAAGTATATTTGAAGAGTTATGCTTTCTCTTTCAAATTCCGAATAAAGTCTGTATTTTTGAGATATACCAAATTTTAAAGTTTGAAAATACAATGAAATAGATAAGAATGTGTTACAAGTATATCATTGATATTTTGAAATATATCATAACAAGAATATTAAGTTAATGATGTTAATAATAGTATATGCACTAGTATGTTTGAAATTTATGAGAACACGATCGAGTGACAGAGAGAAAGAGAAAGAGAGAGTGATTATAAACAGGATCTCTAGTTCCAACCATACAGCCTCCGAAGTTTAAATTCCACAAGATTACTGTGATAGATGCCATCATCTTGAGCTATATAATTATAAGAGCCACCATGAGGCTTTCCACCACTGCCCTGCACATAGGCGTTAAACCTCTTAGAGATCTTATAATCAGGTCCTTTGCTAAGTGTACACCAGAATAGCGTGCCTCCCAAAACGTTATCGTGGAAACTGAACTGGTAATCCATTCCTCCCGGTCTCAGATATTTGGCACCCATATCGTTGTTCTTAGATTTACAATGTACCTTGAGCCATTTCTTGTACGCAAGGCCGTTCCTGAATAAGAGAGTTGTCTTTTTCCCTTTAAATGGATTGCCTCCATATACATTGCCAATCATACAAAGTGCAAAAACAAATAGAAAGATTGTAAGATTTTTCATTCTTTCTAAATGTTTTTAATGTTGTTTTTTTTTTTTTATCTTGTTAACTTGTTTTCTGGTTTATGGTGTTATATATACTCTTATATACCGTTATTTTTGAATATACAGTTTCCTTTTTCTATTATTTAAAAGTTTACTATTAATATTTGAGGTATCAAATCGAAACAATAAATTGATGGTGGATGTTTGAGATGGACTGCACACCCTATTAAGAGCCCTTCCTATATCCAGATCGGTTCGGTTTATCTTAACCCACCTTGGTCAAAATTATTTTTCAAAATGTTTTAAACTAGTTTTGAGAAAAAAATCCCTCAGGGCTATAAGGCGGGTTAATTTCTAGTTTATCTTTAGAGAAGCAATCTTTTTAAAAATTAGACCTGTAAGGGAATACATATTGCCCAAATAAAACTCTATGATATTGACTAGATTGTATTCTCAAACAGTTGGACAAGCGAAAACCATAATTATCTTTATTTGTCCATAAAGGCACAAACTGTATAACAACTATCTTCCACATTCATGCTTTAAGCAATATTCTTATACATATCTTTAGTCTTTTGCATTTACAAATGCCAAACCCAATTTCCCATCCCAAAACTTTGACCTGCCAAAACTCCATTTTTCCCAGGAAAAAAAAAATCAGTTACCCTGGGAAATTAGCCTTCAACTGCTCGTACCTGTTCTTGGCTTCTTGGATTCCCCGCTTAAGATCCTCGTACATTTTCACTGATGACTCTGCAAACTGGTTGAGTTGGCCAACAAATCCTTCCAAGCTTGTCCTAAATCGATCAAAACCCGGACCACAATCCTCCAATGTCTCATCTTGGAACATGTGACTTGTCAGATCGTTTTTGTTCTCACCAGACCGATGTTTCTTGTTGCGATTCTTCTCCTGTCGTGGCAAGAACCTGGCTACATCAGAAGCAAGTGCTTTAATGGAGCTCGAAACCTCTTTGGTTGGTAAAGCTTCGAGCTTTTCTAGCCAGATTCCACATGTTGCGTAAATGGAAGGACCATAGTCTTTCAGAGACAGTTGTTGTGCCCCACGCCTTTTTCGCTTGGAGGATTGTTTTTGTAAAGGGACACATTTCTCAAGCCATTCGTTTATCGCTTTGATATATGATTTCTGGCCTGTGATCCACTTTGTGAAGCTTGAGGCCAACGCGCTTAGCTCATCTTCAAGCTGAGATGTTACTTGTCTGTGCAACTCCGATTGCATGTTGAGTTTAATGTTTCCGCTTCTGTGACACGCTGAGATTAACCGAAACTGAACCTTGTGGCATTCCAACATCACTTCCCACATTCGACTCAACCTATTCACATCCAAGAAATGGTAGATATTAATGTTTAGGTCAATCTTGAAATAAAAAAGAATTGAGTCTACTGAAGAGTGGCCTTAAGGCATACCCTTCGATGAGTTCCTCAAGTTGAGGCTGTAGCTCTTTGTCACGGAGTTCTTCAATCCGTCTTGATATTGAGTTGATCCTATGAATCGCAACTCTGATTCTAGAGTGAAGGTCTTTGACAACCGCACGTGTCTTATCAATTCTTTGTGAACCTTTACCTTCTGATTCAAGTTCTCTCAATACTCTGCACTTTTCGTCATACTCTCTCCGCACAGTTTGACTCCCCTGAAACCGAAAAGAAAACACTTTAAATACTTTGAGTGTGCATTTTCTTGTTTTGTTAACTCGGTACAGGGAACTATAACTACCTTAACTTCATCATAGAGCTTCCGCTCCCAAGCATACAGTCTGTCTAGAGTTGAGGCATGGCTTCCAGCAATCATGCAGATGTTTTCAAAGAGATTGCTATTGAGCTCTTCCACATCATCACAATTCATTCCTTCGAGAGGATTCCGAGAAGATGAGGATCGAGAAGATTCAGTCCTATGCCAGGTCAAGTATTTAACCGAGTTCTGAGCAGGCTCTGCAACAAACAGCTCAAACTGTAACTACTCCATAAAATCAAAAACAGTTAAACAAAAAATGAAAATAAGTAAAATTATTACCTTCTGGTACATCTTTGGGGTCTTCCCCACAAGAGAGACAACTTTTGAACAGTGATGATGCACCAGATCCACCTACAAAAGCAGAGATATGCGGTTAAAGGATTGTTTGTTCTTCAAAATGTGAATCTTAAACAGTAGGCAAGTTGCAGAGAAACAGTAGACATGTATATGTGCAAAAAAACCATCAATAGATGACCAATTCTTACTTTCTTTTGATGGAACTATAGGACGGAAATGCAACTTATTGGCTTCCAGCATCCTGGGAACCTCTTTTCCCGTCTCTGAAGCTTTAACAAAGAGCAACTCTATCTCTTTCATGCTTGACAAGAAGTCCCTGGGAGGATTCTTGTTCTCGGTGTGACCTCCCTTGTTTGAAGTTTTGTTCATTGGAGTAGCAGATGCTAATGGCGTCACTGGTGGTGATAACTCGGGAGTTTTACTTTTCTCAGCGTCTGAGAACTCGTTTTCCACTCCCTCTCTATGAGGCAAAGCACTGTGATCCCGACTCACTCTATTGAAGTTTTCAAAGCTTCTAACAAGTGTATCACTTGTTGGCTCATCAAATTCATCATCATCCGAATCTCTGGACTCTTCCCTTTCATGAAAAGAAAAGTTATCACCATCTTCCTCCACCTCTGGAGTTTCATCTTCCCCCTTAACAGATCTCGGCATATGACCATTCCCAACATGAGAAGAAGAAAACTGTTTGTCGATTGGATGAGAAGGAGCAAAATAATCCCAAGGAGGTGTTTCGGATGGTATGGAAGAAGATTCTTCAAATGGGGTTGATTCCATCTTTTCCACAGACCTGCTTTGTGGGATACTAGATGAGGTGACAACAGTGGAGAGAATTGAAACCGGCGGTTTCTCTTCCACTTTTTTTGAAGAAAATCCTCTGAATTTCATATGGTTAACCTGGAATGAACTGGAACTAGGAGGCGACGGAGGAGGAGAATACGTATCGTGGTGGGAATGTGAGGCAGGTGGAGGAGAGTAAGACAAATGAGAAACTGATTTCTCGGTTAAAGCAAGAGCTTGTTCTGGTGTTGCACTAGTGGATGTGTACAAGGAAGATTCAACCGGAACTTCGGTCTCAGCAAATCTCCTCAGGGCAGTTCCGGTACTCTTAAGAGACTGCACGTATGAAACATGAGCAGCAGCTAACAAACATCTTCCATCGAGTGCTTGCTGGACAAATTTTTTTCTTTCACGACATAACTGTAAGGCTTTATCTTCGTCTATTCTAGATGTTGATGCACCCATTGTCCAAGCTTACATGCAAAAAACAAGTTACAGATTTAGATCTACCACCTGCAGAAATACTATCTTACATAAAGAACATAAAACTGACAGAAATACAAGAATAGTTTTAACAGGAATTATATTGTTAATAAGGACATGAAGTATTAGGAATTGTTCTAGTAAGTGGTTTTGGAGACTTCTTATAATTAGGAACGAGGACTAGTCGATGAGATCCATCCTACCAAATAGGCTTGGTAAGAGTTTATCGGTTTATATCGAAGGAACTGTGTTCTGCATTTTTATTTTTCTGACTTCAACCTTTGTTAAATTCCTATTCTTCATCCTTAACGCTAACAAAACTACCTAAACCAAAACAAAACCGCTTCAATGGATCACAAAATACTTACAAGATTATCAAGTTAACTACATTTACTAAACGAGCACTACCAGAAAAACCAAAATGATAGGAAAATCTGATATATTCTTTCAGCGATACAGTAATCTCAGCATCAATGCACCAAATCCTATAGAAAGTCATTTGTTTCAATGAACTATCTAATGCAAAGGTGCCAGAGTATCATTGTATTCATGTTGAATATGAGAGAAGAAACAGAGCCCTTTGTTCTCAACTTGCATCGAAAAATTAAAACTATGCACTGCAGGATAGATACTATTAGGTAAACATGATCATTCCCTCAAAACTGAATCTCAAGAATACATAAATCCAAGACAATGTACACAGAGAAAAGTCCATCTAACAGATAAGTACTATGAAACAAAAGGAACAAGCTTAGGTTGCTCACAACACAAACACAAGTAGAATAAGAAATATGATCAATCAAATACCACAATCAAAGTTTCAGGCTCCATCATACATACCAAAATCATGGAACAACCTAAAAAACCAATATCTAGCAACAATTCCAGAGAGGTAAAACGGCAAAATCATAATGCAATCTGAGATATTCCTATAACCTAGTAACCTGTTATACAAAATGTCAAAAGTTCTAGAGAAATCTCCTGATGAAAAGAGTAAGACTTTCACAGAAACGCATTAGAACCAGGTTCCAGAATCAATCAGAATCACACAAAAGAGGCAACTTTTTGTGAAAAATCGGAATTTCAGGTATACCCAGAAACTGTGCAAGACGTAAAACAAAGTTACTAACTGAACAATCGAATATCAGAACCTCAGGAAAACTGAATAGTGTGACCAAACAGCAAAAAAAGGAGAGATTTTTACGGGAAAGGAAAAAGAAACCCAAAATAAAATTGGACCATTAGACTAGAAGAAGAAACCACCTAGAAAGAGATTTTACCGAATCTAGTGGCTTTCTCACACAAAGTAGAAGAAACCCAGGAGAAAAAGAAAACAAAAACCCAAGAAGCAGCAGAGAAAATGAGATTGAGAAACGGCGATTACCTAAGAGACCGAATAGAAGAGAGCGAGAGAGAGAAGCTTGAGGATGGAGTTACGCAACGAAAGGATCAAATGAAAACGTCTTCTACAACAGTAGAGGAGGCCAAGAAAAGAGAGAGAGAGGTCAGAGGTGTGAGTCAGCAAAGCGAATCAGACGGGTAGAGAGGAATCTTATGCGGAGAGGACATGCGATAAAGCATTTTGCTTGCTTGTAAAGGAGAGATCGACTCAAAAACGGTAACTTTCTCTGCCGTTGTTATTTATTCTCACACAGGCCACTTTTTTACAGTTTTGTTTGTCTCTTTTTTATTTTTATTTTTTTGACATCAATTGTCTTGGTCTTTTTTCCTTTTCTTTTGGGTTTTT